CCGCTTATCCCATCTGTCAGCATAGACCTTGCTGAACACCACCTAATCTCAACTGCCCGCCATCACAGCTGGAGCTCGGCAGCCGAGCTGCTCTATGCGTTGTTGCGCCGTGCCGTGCTTCATACCCAAGCACTTCACCGGCAAAGACCAAAGATGACCGGGCTAGGCGGCATCTCGGCAAAGCCTAGCCTGAAGCACCTCCTGTGGTCGGCTTTTCTGCCGGTCAAACGGTTACCTCGGCTGACCGCGCCTTTCCGGGCGCGGGTCACTCGGCTTGTCTTGGCTTCGGCCATCCTCGGACCGAGCATCCCGGTCCGACCGAGCACTGCCTTTCCGAGCCGCTTCTTTACGGTCTGGGCGGGACGCACTCGGCCCAAGTTCTGGCAGCCCTTCTCTGGGCGGATAGTTGATCACCTCGGCCCCATGCGCTGTTGGGCTCTCAACCTTCTCGGTCGCTACCACGACCCAACTCCAGATCATAAATCACCCTCTCAATTGCCCCTTAATTCCGTCCGCGAAAGCGTGACTGGGATTACTCACTTCGACCGAGATAACATTTCTCCCGTCTTCAAGATGCCAAACCTCGACCGGGCTAGTTAACATAACTGTCTGCAAACTTGCCCGGTTATATTCCTCGGCTGATATCCTCTTCGTCGAAAGTAGCTCGGTTGGCTCTTCGTCTTTTCAACCTGTCGCTTCAGTCCTGACGCAGCCATAAATGGGGACACGTGGCGGGCTGCCATTGGTCATCGAGCAGCCAACCCGCCGTTTTTGCCAGAATTTGAATTTGGGCGGACTCCCTCCTGCCTATACATACAAGACCCCCCCCCAAACTCACTTTCCTCCTACTGCCATTTTGCCATTCGACTCCAGAGCTCTAGTATCTTCATCCAGACTTTGCTGCCATTCTTCGTGCTTGAAAGAGCAGTTTCTGCCTTCCACAGGTAAGACCCTCAACCCATCTATAGTTACTGTTTTCTTTCGTATTATATACATTAGGGCACAAAAACGTGGCTCTTACGGCATAGACCATAGAAAACGTCCCAAACCTCCCACTGTTCTTGGTGTTCTTCGTCTTCCTGAAGAACACTGAAGCACTGGGGTGAACCGGGCTCTGGGTCTTCTTTTGATCCAAAAAACCAACCAAACCGGGCAAACAACATGTTTGTCTCAACCACAGCAAAAACCGAGATAATAAAAGGACTTGGTCGCTCAACCGGACTAACATCAGGTCTGCTTGGGCGACCGAGCTCCTTAGTTAGACAACCAAGGTGGTTTGGCACTCTTAATGACCGAGCTGAAGTCTAGCTCCTTTTGCGAAACCGCGCTCACTTACACTTGCCATCCTTTTCCTGCAGAGTCTAAGGGGACCACTGTCATTCCTGAACCTCTCAGGACCGAGCTGCAACCAATTACCACCGTGCCAACCCCCTCAACCGGGCTATAGTAAGCCGGCCACAAATGGGGAAATTCCGCTTCCTAGTGGATACTCCGGCCGCGCTAGCCGCTTTCAGAGAGGAGTACGGCATCCCGGCTGACGTCCATCTCGAGCTGGCCGAAGAGGAGACCACGCCTTGGGGTAGGGAGGAATGCCCCTTCACCGTGCTGTCCATTGTCGAAGGGGGCCTTCGTTTCCCTCTTAATCCACTGATTACCGAGTTCTTGCGCCGAACCGGGCTAGCGCCAACCCAAGTGTCCACCAACACTTACAGGATAATAAACGGCGTTCATGAGCTAAACAACCGGTTAGGCATTAGCCTAGGTCTAGCCGAGGTCCTACGCCAATACACCTTGGGCCACACCGGCGACGGTCTCGCCTATTACCTCAAGATTAGATCGGGCAGAGAGAAAATCGTGACTGGCACACCAGACAAGGATCTTCACGACGATGATTTCTTCTGGGTGTCTGGTAACTACGAGACAGCCGAGGTACCGGGCTGGATGATTAGTAAAAATTTTGGGAGCACATGTAAGCCGCGCAAATCATCTCGGTTTATACACTTGATGTTTCTGTAGACTAATCATTCTCTTGTTTCTTTTGTAGCCATCCAAGCCTTGCAAGCCAACTATAATTTCCCCAACGTAGAGGCAATCAGGACCGCGCTTCGCTACCGCGACTGAGATTGTAACCAACTGCTCGGCTACAGTCCCACATATAGATACTCCGCTCCCCGCCGGAGTAAGGTTACTGACTTCCTCCGAGCTCCAACACCTCCACCGGATCCTACTCTGCCAGACGTGCCCCTCGTTCGCCTGACCGAGGAACAAGAGATGGCCAAGCGCAGCAGAATCAAGAACCTGCTCACCGCCACATCCGCCGAGCTGCCGAGCGTTGCAACTCGCTCACCCGTCGCCGGTCAATCCAGTGGCGCTGTGGTCGCCCTTACCTCTCAACCGACCGGGCAATCCAGCCAAGAACCCTCTGCACGGCGCGCCGGGAAAAGAGCTCGGGCAGACCCATCCGCCGAGTTAGTCGCCGAGCTAACTATCGAGCATCCAACTGACGCCCCCGCCCGAGTACCGGCCTGGCACCCCCAGTTGAAGCACCAGGGTCAGGACATCCCGGCAACGGCTTTGATCAAGGCTGACAAAGAGCATCTGCTCGCCTTTGATCTGTCCAAAGCATTCCTACTACCGAGCGACGTGGTCGGCAGCGACCACGTCCCTGACACTCGGTTGGTCAAGTCATCGGTGAAGTCCATGGCCAGGGTAAGTCAATGCAGCTCTGAAAATTTTCCCAAGTGTTTGCCCGGTTCCGCTTCTAATCAACTTTGTTTCTTGCAGGCCATTCAAAAACAACACCTGGTTTTGGAGCGCATCCACCGGCTTAGGCAAAAGGCAAACGACACAGCCAGCCAGGTCGAGAGCCTTCAAGCCGAGCTCGGCCGGGCTAAGGCTTCCCTTGAGATGGCCAACGCTGATAATAACAGACTGCTCGGTCAGCTGAACTCGGCCGAGAAAAAACAAAATGAGCTCCAGACCGAGGTGAACACCCTGAAGAAGTCGAAAAAGAAAGCTTGCCGGGCTGCCAACAACGCGGGTTTCAACGAGGCCGAGTAGAGCTACAAGAAGCAAGTCTTTGCAACACAAGACATATACTTCAAGTCTGGCTGGAAATCCGCTTGCGAGCACCTCGGCCAGGGCTCTGACACCGACGTATTTGCCAACCCTCCTCCAGCTTCGCTACCGGTCTACCTCGTGCCTTATGCAAACGACGTCTTCAGCGCTTTGCAGGCTGAGGCCGAGGAAGGACTTGAAGAAGGAGACGAGGAGACAGATTCTGAGGAAGAAGAGGCCGAGGTGCAAGAGCAGCCCGGCAATGAGGAGCCCGGTGCCCAAGATACCAGTCCAACCATCAACCTGGATGCCGGCGAGGACGAATTCACCAATCTATCCCCCTTAGTTTAGTTTTCTTTTCTTTTTTGTATTTTTGCTTTCAAAACTTTTGATGTAACCGGGCTCTGTCCCCACCTTTTGTAATGAATTTCTTATCAATGAAAAATTCAAATTTTTGCCAAGTGTTTGCGCGGTTGCAATTAATTCCGTGTTCAGCAAGGCATCTCGGTATAAGTCATTGGTAGTAACAAGGTTGAACAAATCATCAACACTTCCAACCGGATTAGATCATCTCGGTTGGGAATCCGCTTTCAACACTTTTGATGTAACCGGGCTCTGTCCCCACCTTTTGTAATGAATTTCTTATCAATGAAAAATTCAAAATTTTGCCAAGTGTTTGCGCGGTTGCAATTAATTCCGTGTTCAGCAAGGCATCTCGGTATAAGTCATTGGTAGTAACAAGGTTGAACAAATCATCAACACTTCCAACCGGATTAGATCATCTCGGTTGGGAATCCAAAGTTGGCCAAAACACCAACTCTTCCAACTGGAGTAGATCATCTCGGTTGGGAATCCAAAGTTGGCCAAAACACCAACTCTTCCAACCGGAGTAGATCATCTCGGTTGGGAATCCAAAGTTGGACAAAACACCAACTCTTCCAACCGGAGCACATCATCTCGGTTGGGAATCCGAAGTTGGACAAAACACCAACTCTTCCAACCGGAGCACATCATCTCGGTTGGGAATCTGAAGTTGGACAAAACACCAACACGTCCAACCGGAGCACATCATCTCGGTTGGGAATCCGAAGTTGGACAAAACACCAACTCGTCCAACCGGAGCACATCATCTCGGTTCTTAACATTAAATGAAAGTACAAGTGCTAAAGCAATATTACTTCTATAAATTGGCAAAAAGGATTACATTCTGCTTTGCAAGTCAAAAAATTTCTTTACCCAAGAAAAGAAAGCAAAAGCTTAAAAATAATACAGTTTCAAGTTGGCCGCATTCCATGGCCGGGGTATTGCTCTTCCCTCTAAATCCTCCAAGTGGTAAGCCCCCTTGCCCGCCAGACCAGTGATCTTGTAGGGTCCTTCCCAATTTGCCCCTAGTTTGCCTTCTCCTGGCACTTAATATATATTATATAAAGCCATCACAACCTGATCCCAGCCACCTACAGCGAAACATGTGTTTGTTAGCGATACAAGTGATGAGTGTAACAAACCAAACAATTTGTACTCTCATCCCATGCCCAAGTTGTACTTGGGCCAAGCACAGATTGCAGTTGCACCCGTCCACTAATTACACTTGTACCAAGGGCATGGGACACTTGCAACAAGCAGGTTTCGCAGCAGCGGGGATTGGGATGTTAACCAAACCTGCCCAAATCCATCAATTTGCCCCTACTCCTAGGTAGCTCATGGGTAAGAGGCAGTTCTACAATAAACAAAATGACTCCAGCAGTACACAATTTTGAAGGCAAAAAATAAAGCTTAAAATTTAAAATATAACCAGACCCAAAAGACATATGTGCAATACACACACCTACAAATATTAACAATCCAAGACCATAGAACAAAGTACTATACAAAATAATATAATAGAGGACTTCTTAGCAAGATGAAAATATTATGCTAATGTTCTATACAACATCCTTGAGTACAGAATCATCAACTCCAAGTGATTTGGGCAAGTCCCTGGACCAAAACTCCACTTCTGCCTTAGCCTTGGCAAGCGATTCTTCGAGTTCACGAACCTTTGCTCGAGCCACTTTGAGAGTGCTTTCACACAAATCAACAAAGGCAAGTGATTCCGTGTGTTTGTTCACCCTCTTTGCTTCGTCCAGCCTGTGCTTCAGCCATGATAAGTCCAACCCAACTTGCTCAAAGTCCTCAATTGAAATTACAGCCAAGCGTAGTGCTTCCTCATCATGGACCTTAGTGTTTGACATAGACTCCATGAACGAAGTAAACGACTCAAGTAGCATTGTTTGCAGAATATGACCTTTCATCAAGAATTTGGTGAAAGTGTCCTTGTGAAGGCCATGGATCCTTTCAAGTAATCGTGATGCCTCGGAAGAAACCCAATATGACAAAAATCTGACTTTGCCAATATTGCATCCTCTAGCATTGTCTGAGGCTTGGCCAGAAGCATGACCACCAGCTTGAGTAATGGTAGAAGTGGCACCAATTGGGGCTGCTTCGCTTAAGACCCGGGTGCCTGAAATAGGTTGGGCGGCCTGTTGAGGAGGAGAGGTCTCCGGATTTTGTGTGCTTCTTTCTTGTCAGTTGGAAGAGTCCGGTCTCTGAGGAACAAGATCAAGGGGTCCATCCAGGAAGGACCGAGCGCGCCGCAGAGTACGTCTGTCTGCCCGGCGTGTTCAATGCTTGGCCGCGGAAGAAACTCAATCCAAAGAGGGTTTGGAGAAGTATTGTCCACCATGGAGGCGAGACCGGCCAGTTCATCAGCTCGGCTGTTTTCTTCTCGGCCAATCTGTTGGACTCTAATTGCCTCGAACTGCTTGATATGTTCTCTGACCAGAGCTTGGTACTTTGCCATCCTGTCATCTTTTGCTTCATAAATCCCAGAGACTTGGTTAACTACGAGTTGGGAATCACTGTACACCAGGAGCTCGGCAGCCTTCATTTGAATTGCGCTCTTGAGCCCGGCGAGAAGTGCCTCGTACTCAGCTTCGTTGTTAGATGCCGGGAAGCCAAGCGTGATAGAATGTTCAATGGTTAGGCCACCCAGGGAGATAAGAACGATACCTAGGCCAGTACCATGGCAATTGGACGCTCCATCAACAAAAAGCTTCCACATGTCCCCCACAAAAAGCTTCCAGCAGTCGGATGGGTCCTGAGAGTTGCGTAGGGCAATGGGATCACAACTGCTCGGCTGTGCGGTGTCAAGTTCGGTGTTGACCGGTTCAAATTCAGTGCCCCTTGGTGATTCGACACCGGACTCAGCAAGTTGTTCTGTAATGCTCAAGTCCGTGGGCGAATCATCAGGTTGCGGTGTGAAGCCGGCCGCAGGCTCTGAGCTGTGTGGATCCATTCCTTCCCCCCTTGATGATTCGGCACCGGACTCAGCAAGTTGATCCGTAATGCTCAAGTCCGTAGGCGAATCATCAGGTTCTGAACGGTGTGGTTCAATTCCTTCCCCCCTTGTTGATGCGGGACCGGACAGAGTGGATGGGTTGGTGATACATAACTCCGTCATCGCAGCACCGGGTGGTATGACCGTGCAAACTAAGGGAACTTCGATGGTACGCGCTAACTCCGCGGCGCTACCTCCTCCAACAGGTTGTACCTCGGTTGGCATTGCGTGCATCTCTTCATCTGCCTCGGTAATGTCGACCGGGCATACCGGATGAGTGCCAGGTGAGAACTCAGCGACAAAATCTGCCAAGGTTTGGGCTTTGATAGCGGTGCGTGGCTGGAACTTCACATCAAACTGTCCCAACTCGACTGCCCACTTAAGAATTCGGCCTGAAAAGTCTGCGCGTTCAAACAGAGCCTTGAGGGGATACTCGGTCAGTACGACGATGGTATGGGCGTGGAAATAGTCCGCCAATTTTCTTGAAGCCATCATCAAGGCCAAAGCAAGCTTCTCCAACGGCAAGTATCTCGACTCTGCCGGTAACAAAGTTTTGCTGACATAAAAAATTGGGAGGTGCTTGATTCCTTCAGCCCGGACTAGCACCGCACTGACTGCGTGCTGGGAGACGGCAAGGTAAAGGTAGAGTCCCTCACCCGGCTCTGGTGTAACCAACAGCGGCGGAGAAGACAAATAGTCCTTGAGCTCGGCCAGAGCGCGGTCACACTCGTCGTCCCATGAGAACTTCGACTTCAATGCTTGAAAGAAGGGGCGGCAGCGATCTGATGACCGGCTTATAAACCGATTAAGCGCGGCGGCCATACCGGCCAGATGCTGCACGTCCTTAGCCGAGCTGGGCTGCTTCAATGCTTGCTCTGATCTGAGTAGGGTCTGCTTCGATGCCTCGGTTCGTGACTAGGAACCCTAAGAATTTTTCGGATCCCACGCCAAAGGCACACTTTGAGGCGTTCAAGCGCAGCTTGTGCTTCTTCAGAATGGCAAACATCTCGGCTAGGTCGGACAAATGGTTTGCCTCATGTTGGCTTTTTACCACCATATCATCGATGTAAGCCTCCATTGTCCGGCCAAGCAAAGGAGCAAACATTTTGGTCACCATCCTCTGAAAGGTTGCCCCGGCGTTCTTCAAACCAAAAGGCATGACTCGATAGCAGAAGAGTCCCCTTGGAGTCGTGAAAGAAGTGATCTCTCGGTCAGGCCCATGCATTGCGATCTGATGGTAGCCGCGGTAGACATCCAAGAAACTGAGCCTATTATGTCCAGCCGTCACGGCGCCGATTGTGCGAGGAGCAAATATTCCGGCAAGCCCGTACTCCTTTCTTCCGAGCTCCGTCGATGTCCGATCACCTGCGAGCAAGTAACGGTGAGCTACCCGGCGGTGTGTGGCCGGAAAAACCCTCCGACGATCAAGTTAGCACACACCTTAGGATGGATAAAGAGCAGGGAGAGAGTATTTGAGTGTAAAAATTCCTTACAGAGATGTTCGTGTCCCGCGTACGGGGAGCGCAGACATGCTTATATACCCTCTGCGCCCCATATCCACTCCCAGTCATCTCCTGACACGTGGCTCCGCTATCCCATCTGTCAGCATAAACCATGCCAATCATCACCTAATCTCAACTGCCTGTCATCACAGCTGGAGCTCGGCAGCCGAGCTGCTCCATCAATTGTTATGCCGCGCCGTGCTCCATAATCTAGCACTTCACTAGCCAGACCAAGGAGGACCGGGCTAGGCGGCATCTCGGCAAAGCCTAGCCCGAGGTACCTCCTGTGGTCGGCCTTTTTACCGGTCAAACAGTTACCTCGGCTGACCACGTCTTTCCGGGCGCCGGTCACTCAGCTTGTCTAGCTGCGGCCATCTTTGGACCGAGCATCCCGGTTCGGCTGAACACTACCTTACCGAGCAGTTTCTTCACGGTCTGGTTCGGCACACACTTGGCCCAAATTCTGCCCGGCCTAAGTTCTGGCGGCCTATCTCCAGGCGGATAGTTGATCATCTCGGCCCCATGCACCGTTGGGCCCTCCACCTGCTCGGCCGTTACCTCGGCCCAGCTCCAGATCATAAATTACACTCTCATATCTGTTTAGAAATATCTGTATTGGGCTATCGGTGGAGGATAACTTTGATTGTTGTGGAAATTGTATGTGGATTAGGTGAACTGAAACTATCCAATGGTTGACTATCATTGAATATGATCATGTTGTGAATACATTGTATATGTATGTTTAATTGGAAGTGGAAAGGGGATGTACTCCATATGTGATTTTGTGTTTATATGCATTGCAAATGTATGTTTGTTTGGGAGGAGAAAGGGGATGGACTCCATTATAATTAAGTTAGTCGGAGTGTCCTGGGTGAAAGTGTAACAACCCCGACCCATGATCAACATTAATCCATGATTAATTATGCCTAACAGTAATTAGGGAGGAATTCTGAATTAATTTGCATGTGTTGTTGCATTATCTGTGTTTATATCTGTTTTGCGTAGAAAGATCTGTCCATGTTTTTGTTTCGATTTACGAAATGAAGGCCTTATCAGCATCTGATTCAAAAATTGGCTTGATTTATGTGTTAATAGGGATTTTCAGAATTTTATGGTAGGATTAATTGAAATCCGATTAGGAATAATTAAATTAGATTAATTTAATGCCCATTTGTTTGGTCTTAATTAATTACACTTTTGCCAAGCCTACATAAGACCTGTAAACTCACTAGAGCCTTTGGTTTGATATCATCTTTGAGCCTCTAAGTGATCAAACGTGAGAGAGAGGAAGAAATGAGACCAGGGGTGAGATTTGGCATCAACATTTGTCTTTGAGAGGATCTTGCTAAAATTGTAGACACTTGAAGAGAATTTGGGAGTTTCACCTTCAACCTTTATGAATTCAAGTTTCTAGGTAAGGAATCAAATGCTAAATTGTGTAATTGAATTTGGCTTTACAAGACTTCATGGGAATTAGGTGAATTCATGAAGGAATTGTGCTAGAATTTAGTAAAATTGGGCCATACCATGCATGCATGTTCATGATTTCAAGGAATTCTTTCATGCATGTATTCATCTCATTTACATTTTGGGAATTCATCGTGTTTTTTTTTTATCAAGTTGCCAAGTTTGATCATGTTTGGAAATGGTTAAGTTCAAGAGAATTCACGCATGTTGTGTTCTTGGAACATTCATAAAGTTTATGTTGGAATTTTGCACAATTGACATACTTTTGGGCTTTGATTTCTCGAAATGATCTTTAAACCCTGTTGTTTTATGAATTTCTAAGAGTATGTTTGGTTTGCATTTGGGAGATGAGTTTTAGAAAAAAATTTCTAAAAAATTGTATGGTTTGAGTTTTTCTCAAAAAATTTCCAAAATCACTCTCTCTTACACATCAATCAATCACTTTTTCTCTCTCCTCTCTCTTTCTCAATCATTTTTTCTCTCACACACATCTACTCAAATTCTCCCAAAATATCAAATCATCACAAACTCCCAAAAAAACAACTCTCCCAAAATATACAACCAAACAAACCAAAAAAATTTCTAAACTCTCTCCCCAAATTTTTTTTCAAAAACAACTCTCCCAAAAACAAACCAAACAAGCCCTAAGTGTTTTCCAAAATTTTGGCCCAAGAGAATGAGTTTTGAAGTGTTTGGTTTAAGCTTGAAGTTTGGAGATCAAATCTGGAAATTCCAGAATTTGAATCCACGCTCGAGCGAACACTCTGAATGCGTGCACTTCCGCTTGAGGACATGATACACGCTCGAGCGTGAAATGCATGTATCCAGAAGTTCAAATGTTTTACAGTTCGCTTGAGCGAGGGAATCCACGCTCGAGCGAAGGTCTGAGTCTCAT